CAAAAAAAAAAAAAAAAAAAGTTCAGCACATAAGTAAATCGAGAAAGAATATGCAGAGTCTAATTTCGAAGAGATTAACGTTAAATTAGAGAAGAAAATAGAAAAATCATGTAACACCTCATTAATCTGAAATCTAATTTGTCATTTATCACCTTGAATTCTCTATCAATCTCACCAAGTTTAAGCTTGATTTATGCTTTGAAATATAAAGAACATGCGCATATTCTTCTTTTTTCGATAAAATAGCTAGTTATGAAAAAAAAGTGTTTAAAGCTACAAAATTAAATTGACCTTATGGATAAGGCAGGTAACTTCAATTATGTCTGAATTACCTTCAACCAATATGCATAATAGTATAATTTTTACTATGACAGAGCTTCAATTAAAATAATTTTTTTAATTTTTCAGTTAATTTTTTACAAAAACTTTCAAACTGGACGATTTTCAGTGATAAGTATTATACTTAAGCCAGTCATATTTTTGCGCACTCCATAAGTATTGTTGGGGATGTCATTTCAGACCGAATTTAACAAAAAAACTCTGTTTTATCTCGCCAAAACCTCTGCGAAAACGCCCAGAGTATTAGTTTCATCTTTAGCCATTTCAATTACTTTTGTACATACCCTTCTGATCAGTCCAATAAATTTATAGAATAACTTTTTTAAGTTCTAAAAAACAACTTTGATTAAGAGAAATTTGTCGAGCTATAATGTCCCCACATATCTTCTTTTGTTAAGGCTTATAATTTTTTTAGTCTGTGCAGTATCAATTCGTTAATAATTGTTTATTAATTATAGTGTTATATATTACTAATAATTTATAAGCTTTTTGTACTAATAAGGTTCAATTACGGTCTTATTATCCTGAAAAATAAATACCAGATCAAACATTTTTTAATAAGAACAGTATGATTTTTTTTTTCTACAAGCTAGTTTTTTTCTTCTTCTAAACATTTAGGGATTTTTTAATATACATACCTTTGTCTCGGAGTTCCTTAATATTAAAAAAAATTTCTTTCCCATTTTAGTCTCTAATTAACTTAGTTTTAAAAAATTGGTTAAACCTTATACTTTTTCGTACACCTTTGAAGTTATCAAATGATCTTCTTTATTAAATTATTCGCTCAATCATTCTTACAATAGTTAGTTCTAAATTTATGTCTACTTTATTTACAAAAAGCTCATAGCACTTAATCTAAACTTACTCAAAATAGGATACACATTACGGGATCAAGCACGCAGAAAACCATAGTTCATATGTTTGGCACCTTCAGTTGAAATTTTAAGTCTAAATAAAAACATAAGATTTAAGATGCATTTAATTTTGCTACCTAGGTGTGCAATATTGTGAAAATATATTTATTGGAGAATCGGAAATTAACTTTAGTGGTATTAGAAAAAATTTCGAATGAATTATTAAAAGAACATGTACACAATTTTTCATAAATAATCGTAGCGTGTGAAACTTATATTTTTACTTTGTAAGCAAATGTGTAGTACAATGATGCTATTTCAACAAGAGGTAAATATTTTCGTAAATTATATTGACATTCTGAAATAATTATTGACTCTTAATATAGTTGCAACTCATTTTAAAAAGTATTGAATTCCATAGAACTTTGTGATAATATTATTAAATACGTACATTGATGAACACATATTTTATGCAAAACTCTTTATCAAATTACTGTATTAACTAGTGTACATTACAAGAACCTCGGATACTTATAATTGATTACCATCTTTTACTTATTCAAATTAAAACGAAAAAAATAAGAAATAAATAAAAAATCTTAAAAACAATGTATCAACTTTATTGTTTTCAAACTTAAGAATTATTTTTATCTTGTAGAAAAATCTGATGAACTTAAATCTTTTAGTAGAAGTTGTACGGTTAAAGGATTAATTAAAATATAAATAATCTAAGATTGAAAGTCATAAAAAAAATCATCACAAAATAAAAATTCTAATAACAAAAACAAATTCCATTTCCGACCGACTATAACTCTGTCCCGGTCATGACTCTTAAATATTTCAGACAGTGCCTCGTTCATTGCGTCATCGTTACTATAAAATGAATATGCGACTCGCGTCTAACTCGCAGTTTTGAATTTAGTATAGTTTCGGGAACATCTAGAGACAAAAAAGTATAACAATGGTATGTCCTTAAAATGTTTGTTACAATGTGTAAGATGTACATATTACAGGATAACATTGATTAATCATAAATGTGATGTACTATTACTTGATTATAACTAAATAATCCGATAAATCATTTTTTTCAGGCTGACTTGTCTTCTAAAGATCTTGAGAGTAAGTACATTTTTTGTCTTCTTATACTCATTTATTTAGTTTTAGTTTGATTATTGCTATTCATAAAGTATCTATTGCTATAATGTTAGACTACAAAAAAGTAAAACATTTTTCAATACAAACTGGAGCTTTATGTACAATGCAAATAAGTTGAATGTTCGAAAAAAATTCCAAACAGTAATAGCTTATATAAATAAAAAAATAACGTAAGATCTATTAAATAATCATCTTGTACCTGCATTTTCATAATGCCCTCATTTTTTAGCTTTCATTTCATTACAAGCTAAATGAATAATGTATACATAGACAAAAAGTATGACATGTAATTTTAAAATTAGTATACCAGTCACAGTTTACTGACCTTAATATGAATATTGCAAAATTTAGTGGAAGATGAGAAATGTCATTATAGTTCCTTCAAACTTTTACTTTATATAGTAGACCAATGTTTCGTAGTAGTTTTAATCACTTTTATCAGTTTTCAGTGAAACTAAATACATAATTAGTTGTTTTTTTTCGGCATTTCAATTTAATTTTTTTTCTGATCTCCCATCTATTATGGAACAATAAAATTAATTTGTCAGCGTAATATATTATATATTAGGTATTAAAAAGTTTTTTCGTATTTTTCGAATACAAATTTCCATTTAATGCACGATGTACGTTTGCAAAATGTGACATGTAAAATATATTTACGAATTTTTCTGATTCACTGATTGACCAATAATTTTATTTTGAAAAATACTGAAAATAATTTTACAGAGCTGCAAGGTTACCAAGGAAAAGCAATTAGATAATTTAAATATTTATTATCGTTAAGAATGAGTTCCGTTTTTCAAGTAATGTTCTATTCTTCAAGTTCTTCATAAACATTTTCTATTAATTTCTTACTATTAGCTCCTTATGCAACAAAATAACATATGTGAGAAAATGAAAGTAATATTTTACAGTTAGAAATATATTTGTCTGCGAGACATGAAAACTAATAAAATAAATGTGACCCAGTACATTAATTATTTTGTATTAATGAGCCTAAAAGATGCTAAAAATATGTTTTTTGGATCCCATCTTCTCTCAAATTAAAGATTCATTGTTTCCATTAGAAGAAAAATAAAGATGATGCAAACCACCTTTTAATATCTTTACTTAAGTCTTCATTAAATTTTTATTTAAAGATTCTATGCAACAGAAAACATTAATATGACTTTAATTATTCCACAGTTCTAATTAATCTTACGATTTGTCTTTTTAGTCGGTAAGATCTTGTATCTACTAACTTATTTCGGCTAATTACTGAAATCTCGAATAAGAACTTTGCTCAATGACTTCTTTTATTTATACTTGCGTTTGTAATAAGAAGAAGACTAAAACATAGTATAGCTAAAAATATTTTGACTTTCCTATCAAGAAAAATACTTTTAATGTTAATAAGTTATATTTTAGCCATTAGTCAGCAAAAAGCTTGTTGGAAAAAGTTGATCATGATTTAACAATAAATAAATTTAGAAAAATAAAATATAAACAATTTATTAATATTTAAAGCTTATTTTTATGGTTCCCAAATATAGTATTTTCTTGGAAAACCTTACACAAAAATGTACGCGATTGCCACTAAGATATTTTAAGACTAAGAGAGCGTGTAGGAGGCATGCCTAAAAGAGGAGCGGTACCACGATAAATGTATTCTTAGATTTCCTTAAAAATTCTCATATTTAAATTTATATCACGAAATTGTGCTATGGTACAACTCTATGAACACAATGATGTCACTTGCGAAGGAATATACAATAAATACGTATATCTACTACTTTCTGTTGATTTCCAGTCAAAAAAGGATTTTACTTCATGAACGTTGTTTAATGCTTTTTATTTCTTTTACTTTGACACACTATTGCAAATACTGTTTCTTTTCCATAAAAACTTTAATAGTTTATTGAATTGCTACATTAAGTGAGTACTAGCTCATCAAAGCTAAAATAAAAAATTTTTTTTTTGACTGGTCAAAGTTTTTTTCTGTGAAACAAGCTATGTATAAACTGTTTATAATAGTGCATTCTTCTTGCAAGTCATTTTTGCACAGAAATTTATTAGTAAAGTTTTAAAATCTAAAGTTGGAAACTTAAGAGGATAAAAATTTGTGAAAAATGTCAATAATTCTGGTTTACTTAATTTTTAATATTTTTTTGTATAACTTATACATGCGTTGGCAAAATTTTTAATAAAAATATTAAGTAGAAAACTTTATGTCATCAATTTTATAAAAATGGATTCTGTCGTATAGGCTTGACATATTTCAACAGCAAAAGATGCTATTTTTTACGGACATTCAGCGTATGTGGATGAATTATCCATTCAAATTTTGATTCATACTTGATATTATTAGTTTATGATAATATTCTACAGTATACTAGTATACTGCTCAGAATTGGATAAGCATTCTTTCTTTGGGTTTTCGTTATTGTAGTTTTCTGTTGTAAGTGTTTTTCTTGCAAATAAGTACAGAAAAATAAAGCTTGTCGTAAGACCTTGTGTTGCAGTTTTTAGTTTTCTTGCTTCGTAGATCGGAAAATCATTTAATGAAAAAGGCTGAAAAAATTTTTAATGTTTACAAACTGTCTATGAAATATTTTTAGATTTTGTAAACAAGGCTTGAAAAAAATCATGTACAGTATTTTGTTTGGGAAAAAAGATATACTTTCTCATATTATAAACAAAAGTCGACATATTCTATAGAATTTAAGAGTTTGACGATTTAATTAAACGATAATGAACATTTACACCTCGTTTTTTTGCTACTAAAGTTCAATACCATACGAGAGTTAAGCTTAACTACTACGTATAAAAATGTATACATCAGTATACCTATAGAGTAAATATGTGAAAGCAACATGGAGCTTTTACACTATCCAAGCAATCTTTCAAAAATAGTGACATGGTAAGATTCTATGAATGTACAGGAAAATAAGAGCTGAGAAATTCATGTTCTTGTTAATACGAACAGTTTTAATGCATATCCAAGCATCGATGATCAATTTTACGGTTTTAATATTAACAATGTTAATTTCAATATTAGATTTATCTTTATGTAAACCATAAATAAAGGTTTTTAAGGACGATCGGTAGAGATAGCGGGAGGGAACCACTTTCGGGGCAAGGGGGAAGTAGCGATGAGTGAAGACTTGGCATCGCCGCAAGGGTCACCAATGTGTGAGTGTTCATGTACACACATATATACACACATCAGGTGTTGTGCACACTGCAGTGTCTGCACTGTCTGCTCGTCTGCTGCGTCAGTTACGGCAGCGTATGTGTATATTTGGAATGTATTTGTGCTAAGAATGTAAGTATTTGATTTTTATTCGTTATAACAATGTAATGAAAATCAGTAAATAATTAAAAAGACTTGTGACACATGTAGGTACATACAATTATATTCGTAGCTCTCATTTGTAGAGTAGATTTTAACGTCATTGTTAATATATTTATGGAAGATGACGCTAGTTTAAGATCGTTTTTATTAAATGAACAAAATCCTTTTATCAAAAGAAAAGCTAATGTACATAAAATTCTTGAATTTTTATGTGACTTGAAAAGTCTCATTGAAAGTGATATGTTAAATAATTAGGACAGACTCTAGTCTCTGCGATTACTACAAGCATATGATTTTGTTATCTTGTGTAAAAAAATTAAAAATTAAAAATTTTGTTAAGAAAAATAAATATGTGTTATTATAATACATTGTTTTGTTATGGGTACAGGTGGAACCTATGTAAATACACTCACACTCATATATAAGCTTATGTTTTATACAGAAATACATAAATTTCTACCATAATATTCAAATATTTACTGATTTACGTCCTGGAATATTTTGAATTTCCCGCTTATTGCGACGTTGCCCTTGCGTTTTTGTCGAACTAATATTTAATTTTTTTGTTTATAAACTAATCAGACGATCGTCGCGAAACTTTGTGTACATATACTTAATAACATTATCTGTGACATAAAAAAATTGGAGACATTCATCACGCCAATTTTCTAAAAACTGAGTTTTTATAAGTTTCCCCATAAGCGATTGTGTTAAAATGACTAAACTTTGAAATTCAATATCTTGGAAACGAAACAGACGAACCTCTTGAAATTTTAACAGCTTCATTGTTACAACAATAAGAACGTCTGGTTGAAATTTCAAAAAGATTCATCACAGGGTTCTATCTCTACCGAACGTCCTTAAGTAGAAAACAAAATTTTAGCAGTAACTAGATCAAGTTTTATAAGTATGTTACTAATAAGATTTAAAATAGAGAAAGCCTTGGCAATCACACTTCTATTTACTTGAATTACTCATTTATTGTAAAGCTAAGACGTTTAAATCACAAAAAATATCTCTTAATTTAAGTTAGTACATAGTTTTTAAACATTTAATTGTCTATGACAAGCCAACACTCAAATAAAAATTTACTTTGATTATTAAATAATTTAACAATTGAGATTATAAACAATTAATTAACATCCTCGAATTACAGTTTCTCCAGTTTCAATTTTCATGAACAGGTCTATGAGTATACCTCCCCCATAGAGCCATTGTCTTCACAATTCGTCTGCTTCGTATTGATCCTAATTGAGACGATTTTTCTCTATACGCTAGGTAATTATCTTTGGCGCGAACCAGTAACGCCATCTCTTGGATTTTTCATTTGAATAGCGGTGTCATCGAAACGTATGTGTCATAGCAAAGCCAACAGAAAATAACGTTTTTTATTTGTAAATTTAAAATAAAATATAAATTTTAGAGATAAAAATATGGTTGTTATTTTAAAATTAGGTATTCAAAAAGTAGAAACCAACGTTTTTCGCGAAGAAAGCCTCTCCAAAGATCGGAAACTTGCTGACAGTTTTCATATGTTAGTAACACTTTAGAGAAAATTTGAGACGATCAGACTCATTGTTTAAAAGGACGGATTTGAAAAGAAACCCCTGGAGCTGCAAGCGAAAAGTCG